ATGGGCATAGACTGCTACGTTCTGGAACAGCTTCGCTTTATAAATGTTACATGACGACTTTTTTTATCTTAGGAACTTTACGCAAAGACTTTTTTTTTACTTCGAGAACATTATACAACATAAAATACGAGTGTGGCCAGCGAGTGTTCCCTGATTATAGTTTATTATTGCAGATTTAATTTAAGATAATAACCGACTAAGCCGACTTAGCCGTATCAAATCATCGACTCGGCTAAGCTTGTAAGTTGTTTAATCGACCACAATCACTATTTAGAAGTATCTGGAGTTGTAATGTCGGAGTGCAATAACTCGTCACACTTGAAGATCACCGAATCGGCTAAGCTTGTAAGTTTTTAATCAACTACACAATCACTAATTAGAAGTATCTGGAGTTGTAATGTCGGAGTGCAACAATAACTCGTCATACTTGAAAAAGTCGCTTGTCCGTGGCAGATGATGATAGTAATTTGGCCGCGTGACAAGAGGTCGAGGTTTATAACACATTGTTGCTTCCATGACGGCATCAACTTCTGCATCTGAATCGATTACAGGGACATCTCTTTCCGAGTCATCGATCTTATTATCTTGCCTATTATTTAACATTGCAGCTTCTTCTAAAAATTAGGTTAAATAAAAATGTTAATTTCAATAATCAGATCATGATCTGATCATTATCATCATTATCATTATCGGATATGCATGCGTGACTCACTTTGCGGACGTTCTGCAGCTTTTTTCTTTTGATGTTCGGCGAGTAACTCATCGTATCTCCTTGAACGACCTTGAACGGCTCGTTTTGAACCAACAGAATGAGTTTTACAAGTCAATGAGCGTGTGCATGGAGTGGTCTTTGGATATTGAATGACACCACATTGTTTATCCAAATCGATGGGTCCTATTAACGTTAAAACAGATTAATATCGGCTTGTAAAATACAATTTATTAATGTATTATTTATTTAAAATGATGATGTAATCACCCTTATTCCTACGTACTGTAATTGTTTATTATTGGTTAATTTTTATAAATACAAAATAAGTGTAACAGTTGCAACATCCGTGCCGTAACATTAAAAGCCACGTACATACGTACTTACGTACGTACGTACGTACGTACTTTCCAACGCGATGTATTAATTTTGGCCGGCACCTGCGTTAAGACAGAAACGGAGGTGAAGGAAGTGGAACCTCTTACAAGGTTGCACGGAATATTCGAATATAATTAATTATATAAAACATGATCAAATTTTAAATCAATTTTTGAGAACCCTTCCCTTTTTGACTTTGGAATTCTTATTGTTAAGATTATAAAAAGAATTTTTTGTAAAAATGGGTGATTTAAATAATTCTAAAAAAAATGATAAAAGCACACATATTTCCGAAGGTAAACTTCATTTATTTTATTTAAAATTTTCGTATTAATTAGAAAATATAATAATTTCATTACTTTAATTTCATCAGATGAAGTTACAGAACAATTAAAATCGACAAAAAGAACGCTGTCTCATTCAGATACAGATCCAT